GGATATTCCAGGAGGAGAGAAAGACAGCATACAAGTCCATCGTTCAGTTACTTTCTCAAACATCCGGGCATGCTGGCACTTCAGCCCCCACTCCCAGTCCTCTCTGAAGAAACCACTCCTCCAGGGAGTTCCTCTCCCATTCCCTCAGTCTCTGCTCCCACATCTTAGCAGGGAGCCTTCCCTGGCCACCTCCACAGTCAAGTCCCCACCCTGGACACCTGAACACACCCTAGCTCCTTGTCCTGTTTTGCTTTTCACCATGAAACACATTCTCTTACTTGGTTACTTGTTTAACGTCCATCCCCACACACATTTCCAAGACTCCAGAGTGAGCTGGGGCTAGGGGGAGGGGGCGCTGTTCTGTTCCTGTGGGTCACAGGGACCCAGAGCAGTGCCTGGCCCAGGGTAAGCATTCTACATCTGCGGAAGAGATGGGCAGACTAATAAGTATCGGCCACAAGAGACATACACGGGTGACAGGAAAGAAAGGGGCTCAGAACAGGAGTGGTGGCGTTTGAGCAGACCGCAGGATGACAACACAGGAGAATGCTCTATGGAACAGCATCGCAGGGGTCGACAGGCTCTGCAGGGAGCAGGGCTGCTTTCCAGGTCTGTTCACCATGCTAGGTTTCCAAGAAGACAGCAGAGGAGGGCCGCATTGTAAAGCTGGATCCAAAAGCAAAGCCACAGAAACTCTGGTCTGAACACAAAGCAACACAGATTTGCTGCTTCAACAGCCGTCCTGAAGCATGAAGACAAGGGCTTACCCTGGGGAGGGTCAGAGTGATCTAGAAGGAACCTCACATCTGCATGGGCTCTCACGGGAGCCAGAAATGCCTCCCTCCAGACTGTTTAAATGAGAAGCCAGCCCAAGTGTGCTTACACCAGCTTCCTGTCAAGACATTCTTGGCACATCCTGTCGAATCCAATACAGCAAGGAAAGCTGAGGGGAGTTCAATCCTACCTAGGTGTGATGGTGCACACTTATAATCTCGGAACCAGGAGACTAAAGCAGTGGGATTTTGAGTTCTAGGCCATCATGGGCTACAGAGCAAAACCACTTTGAGGGGGCGGGGGAGACAGGAGTCTTGACCTAAGTTCTACAAGTATGAAGTTCCACTTGACAGAGGGACGGGGAGAGGTGGGATTCAAAAGTGGAACCACAGAAAGGGGCACCCCCTTTTTAAGCTGGAGGAAGAAACCAAGGCCAGCTGCCAGGGTTCCAGGATGATGGATGTGCCAGGGGGCACAAGAAGCTTAAATGGGAATGATATGGTAAAAGTGGCAAGGACGATAGCAATGCTACCCACGTTGGCAAAGGCAGCTTGGATAAAAGGAAGCTGCCACCAGGCAACCTGCTCCCCAGGGCAAGCAGCAGAAGCTGGGGAGCCTGAGCTGACTCTGAGGTCAGCAGGAGGGCATCAGGTTCATCCCAGAAATGCCTGCACCACCCCATCTAAATGGACGTTCTGGGCACCACCCAGGGCAGTCTGGACCAGGGACTGGAGGAGGACACAGGACTCTAGTGAAGAGGTGACTCTTGAGGAGTAAGAAGATGGACTATCCAAGCAGCTCCTCCACTGGTACCTGGGACACAGCAGGGTCAGACCTTTAGTTACAAGGATTCCACAGTAAGAACAAGAAATTGTTCCTATAATAGTCAAAATGAGATTTTTTCTCATTTTGTGAAAAATGTTTCACCTAATATTTAATTAATCAAAACATAGCCCAAGGTTGCTAATAATATTATAATGTTCTCTATCTATTTCTGGTGTTTATTACTCGAAGGTGGCCTGGGAAGGGACCTCTGAGCATGGATACAAGTCCTATGCTAGCTCACTATAGCCTTGAGGATATCTTGTGGACATGACAGATCCCAGGGTTCTCTCTGGGAGAAGCCCACGCTGTTTGTAGAAGGCTGTGTGTCAGGGAGCCACTCCTTCGTCCCTCCAGCTCCAACACAGCATACCCAGAGTGAACTGTCCTCTGGACTTGTCTTCAAGAGAACGGTGATCTTAAAGGGGACAAACTATAGTTGAGGTTCTCCCACCTCAAGGCCACCTCAGAGCTAGTCATTCCCCAGTGGCCTTGGCGAGTTTCTACACTTCTGTGGTCTGTTTCTAAAGATCCCTTCTAGCTGACTGAACCTGTCTGAGAAGTTCTAATTTCCTTCCTCCTAATCCATGCTGAAAGAAATAGTTCCCTGTATAAAAAACAATCACATACAAAGGGCCTGGGGTCAGAGGCTAGGGACGTGGCAGCGAAGAGACAGAAGTTCATGGACAGGGCTGGGGGTGTGGTGGAGCATTTGCCTAGCACTATAGACCTGAAGGACAGAGCCAGCAGAGGAGAAGGCAGGAGAGAACGGCTTTGTGGTGTGAGGAGTGTCCAAAACCTAGGAAGAATTAATCACAAGAAGTGGATTAATCCTGCTGTTGAGAGAGAGGCATCATTCATTTAGCACAGGAACAGGTTCACAAAATATGAACTCATAAGCAATGGGAGCAATGTGACCCCAAGATTAATAAACCTTTATCTGACCAATGCTGTCTGGGCACTGTTAGAACAGTGGCTCTCAACCTTGCTAATGTTGTGACCTTGTAATACAGCTCCTCGTATTATGGAGACCCCAACCATTTCATTGCTACTTCATAATTGCAATTTTGCTGTTGTCATGAATCATAACGTAAATATCTATGTTTTCCAATGGTCTTATGTGACTCCTGTGTGAAAGGGTCGTTCAATACCCCAGAGGGGTTACAGCCCACAGGTTTAGAACCACTGGGTTAGACCCATCGGCTCCCACCAGCTCCCACCTTCATACCTCAACAGGGAAGGTGGCAGTCCCTTCAGGTCATTTGCAGGAGTCTCCAAGCTTTGTGGAAGGACGTGTGACTGTCAGATGGGCCCCACAGAGCAGAAAGCACATACTCAAGACATGGCCTGTGCTCTTGAGGCCAACCATGCCGCATGGATTGTGTAGGGGCAGACAATATGACATGACACAGAACAACAGCAGGAAGGACCAATGGAAAAGGACAAAGACATACTCTCCAGCTGTGGGTGCCTTGCACACCTCCGAGGAGGTACTGGAGGAGGGGCAAGACGCGGAATGGAGAAAGTACCCCAACCCCGGGAATGACATCATCTCAGGCATGCAGGCTGGAAGGCAGTGCATGTGTGGCCACGGCTGTGCTTCAGCTGGGGATGAAGGGAACAGATCTGAAAATGTAGAGGAGGCCCAAGCTGCTACCCCAGCAGGTGGCCATAACCACGCTGGTCTTCCAGGTGACCTGGTGCAATCCAAGACCTGCCTAGACTGGCCCCAGGGTCTTCTCCCTGAAACGGAAAAGCTTCTCCAATTTGAGTCTGGAGGATCAAACAGGGTAAGATGAGCTACCTCTGGAATTCCAGATCAGTAAAACAGGAAGGCTCTGGAACAAATCCGCTAGTCAAAGTGGGACACAAGGGTCCCTTCAGCCAAAAGCTCCTAAGCCTCCTATAGGATGAAAGTCCAGCCCAGGTACCCTTTCCTGACCATAGCAGTTATCCTGAGGAACTCATCTGCCCAGTGCAGAAAACATATCTTCAATGCTATGAGGGGAAGCAAGATTGGATGCTATGAAGGACTGGACATGGAAGGTTCCCCTAGAGGGAAGAAGGGACATTCTGGGTAGAGAAGACGGCTTGTGTAAGGCCACCTTCAACAGTGTTAGGAAGCCAGGTGCGTGACACACAAACAAGGGAACACTCAGGAGTAGTGGCACAAGTGTGAGGCCAGCCTGAGCTCCACAGTGAATTCCCAGGACAGTTTAGACAACAGTGAGATCCGGACGTGAGGGGAGCAGCCAGGGCTAGGCGCACCTACAATCCAGCACTCAGGAGACAACGGCAGGGAGTCTGTGAGTTCAGCTGTCCTCCTGATGTGTATAACAAGATGGTGTCTCCAAAAATAAAATAAAATAAAATGAGGACACAGGCACATTTATGGGAAAGAGAGGTGAAGTCAAAGAATAAAACCAGGCTGACGGCAGAGCCTCACCAAGCAATTGGGGCGTGACACTGTAGTCAACACAAAAATGTTACAAACCCCTGAACCCAGCAATGCCCTGGCAGCAGCTCCTGATAGTCACCAAGCTAGGCACAGACACAGATAATATTTTTCTTGCTTCCCTGTCCTTCCACCAACATCAGATGCCATCCTTTAAGATTGCCTAACCCATTACCCAACAAGCAGACTCTGGACCCCTCTACACAATACCAGGGTCAAAACAGGGCAAGCAAGTTGATGAGGGGAACCAGCACACTAGGTGGAGTCCAATCCCAGACAGGCAGAGGCAAGTAATTAATCAGAAGATGAAAGTCATGGGAGCTGTCAGGAAGACAGGCTGGTGGGTTCATAGCTGCATCTCTTAGAGCTTTCTCTTCCCCTGGAGGCCTCTCTAACTGGTTCATGTCCTTAAGGGCAGGAAGGAAAAGGACACAGAGGACACGAGATGGTTTGTTTCCACGGAGAACCAAAACGATTGCAATACCCTGACTTCTACTGAGAAATTCCAGTTCAACCAAGACTTCTAGAGGCTTCTCCCAGACCCTGTCCGGCACACTTAGCTCAGAAAGATGACTACTGATGTCTTCAAAATGAACAGTTCCGTCCTCGGAATATTAAAAGCAATGTAGGCAGTGAAGGCACTTCTTAGGCATGCTGGGAAGCTAGCAAAACGGGGCAGGCTGATTCTCCCGTGAATGAAGCAGAGCTGAATGAAGCGGGAGACGGACTAGTTAACAGGGCAGATCCCCTTCGGCTCAGCTGAGCTAGTCTGGTTCTAGGACACGCCCCCAGACCAGATCTCCAGCATTCTGGGCATGTATGTGCTGGTTATGCATGCGCCGGGCAAGGTGGAGGGAATCAGACAGACTACAGGCATAGGAAGGGGCCAGCGCTCACCAGAGCCGCCAAAAACGGCTCAGAGTACAGGCAAGGGCCACACACCGCTCACCTTGCACTTGAAGCCGGCGGCGGGCGGCAGGAGCTCCCGCAGCAGGGCCTTGGCCACCTCGCGGCTGGCCTCCTCGCTCACGAAGTGGAGGTTAAGCACCTCGTGCGCCTCGAACTTGGCGAGGCGCAGAAGCGAGCGCAGCGCCACCCGGGCCTTGGCCTGCAGCGCCGCGTTGTGCTCCGCCTTGGTGAACATCATCAGCAGGTGGTAGTCCACCGGCACGGCCGCGCCGCTCTCCAGGCTCTTGGCCTTGGCGCCCGAAGCCGGCACCGCGGAGCCCCTGGCCAGCTCCAGCGGAGGCGGCGTAGGCGCG